TAAATCTTCCACCCACTCCACTCCACCTCCCAGTAACAGCGCCCAGACAGACCTTCCCTGCACAGCACCTGACACAACTGAGTGAATCTGTCTGGACGGCTGGGGTAGGAGTAGCCTTTGCGCTTCAGTTTCACCTTTCTGTTCAGCTCAGACAGAAAGAGTTGTCTGTATAATGTGTGTGGGTCCAGGGTGAGCCGACAGGAATCTGAGGGAAGAGAAATTAAGAAATACAAATATGAAATGAGTGTGGGTGAGTATCATTGGAGATATGACTGTTAGCAAATTCAGGATAAAGGGACTCACATTGTAAGAATTCGGCTCTGGTCTTGGGCTCGGGAAGGTGTAGAACATCCACTAGATTCACTGAAACACACATTCACAAACAGTAAAAGACTAACGATTAGACCATACAAATGAAGTGAAGACAAACTGAAATCCCATCAAAGTATGCAGATGAAACTCTCATTTCTAACCTACCTCTGGTGGAAATTCTGCACCATTCTCTCTTCAAGATGCCCTCTAGTTTCTCTCTCAGGTTAGACACAGCCTCACTCACATCCTCAAAGTACAGAAGAGGACGGACAGCGATGGTGGGTAAATCTGAAAATACACTAGGACTGGCGAGAGACTGATAACTCTGCAGAGGGAGAAAGAGCGCATAGCCACGAGAAAATGATTAAACAGTCAATCTTCTATGCGTGAACTAATAAATTCCTCAAATGAAGCACTTTGCTTTTCTACGAGAGGCATGAGTTTAAGTTGGCTAGCTTGAGAAATAACATACTACTTTAGCTAGCTACAAAGGCTTTGGGAAACCCACCCCAGAATAACGAGTTCCCTTTGCAATAACAGAAGGATAGTCCCTCAGTGTAGCTACCTCCAGGAAATGGATGTGATCCTCTGTGTGTGCGAGCTTCTCCAGCTCAACCCCTTTCATCTTCAGCTCAGCGATCTCCTGCTCCAAACACTCCATGAGGCCTTCAGCTTGACTCACAGCTGTATTCTCCTGGGCTACAATCAGCTCCTTCACCTCAGAGCGCCTTCTCTCAATGGAGTCAATAAATTCTGTGAAGATCCTCTCACTTTCCTCCACTGCTGCCTGTGCAGAGTGCTGTTATAAGACAGACAAAGACAAGAGAAGGGTTCATATTAAAAAAAGTATATTATCTCTCTAACTTAGAGCCCAGTGGGATTGGAGTGGCCTCTAACTGGCTGACTGGGAAAAAACAGTGAAATGGGTCGTGTTCCAGGTTTTCTTTGTTGCAATTATACTGTGCATCTTAGAATATTGCTATATCATACCAATGTGGTTCCTGAGATATCAAACACTTCTCCAGGCAGTGTGGGATCTGATAATCTGTGCAACTCTATTGCAACAAAAACAACATGGTTAATCTACTCAGATCAATACTCACACTGAGCGACTCCACAGCCTGTTGCAGTTCCTTCAACTCCTTCTCCCTCTCCTGGACTTTCTGCTTGACCTTTTGCTGACTCAGCCCTATCTGCTTCTGTGGACAAAAACATACTTGATTTATTTGACATTTTGCAGGATGAAATCTCTTGAGATGCACCATCTCATTTTCAAGAGTGTCCAAATGAAAAAAATAAAACTAACAATACTTAGAAACAAGAATAATAATGTCTAATAATAATGATAATAATTAAAAACGTACATTAACAGCATAAAAATAAAAATGTAGTTCAACAACTACTAATAGGCCTACAACTAATAAAAACTACTGCTACAACTACTATACAACTAATGAAACTAAGTATAATATATACATACACATTTACTAATATCTCCACATGGTGATGTTTCTAATAGTTAAAAACACAAACAGTTTGTTCTTGACATTTTATAAAAATGGCTTTCTTAAATTCACTGTGTGATTTTAATGCCCTGATTTCTATAGGTACAGTCAATTATTCCAGTCAGTTGGGACTTTATATCGAAAAGATCTTCCTCCAACCTCATGATGTACCCTTGGAATTTGTAATTGCTGCTGAGTCTTGTATAGTGTCTTGTAAAGTTAGATGTTCCTTAATATATACAGGGAAATCTAAGTTGATACATTTACAAATAAATTGGTACCAATGCAGTTGTCTTCTAGTTGGGAGTGACAGTCAATTTAGTGATTCATACATTGTGCAATGATGTGTCTTATAGTGTCATCCAAGAATGAATTAGCAAATATTGTTAGAAATTACATCTAATTCGCAAAGTAAGGTCTTGGTTGTGTTTTGGTAGATGATGTCACCATAGTCTAGGATAGGAAGCAGCAGTTGGGTTACTAAGGTCTTTCTAATGGATACAGTAAAACAATTCTAAGATCTGTATAGAAAACCAAGCTTGTAGTTAATTGTTTTTCTAATATAAACAATATGCTTTCGAAAAGATAATTCAGAATCAAGACTCAAACCCAGATATTTCAAACAATCAACACTTTGAAGCATTGTGCAATTATGTGCATCAATTTTGAAATTGCCAGCTGTGGCGTTTATTATTTGCCATGTACCAAACAGCATGATATAGGACTTTGTTTGATTTAAAACCAAATTATCAGCTAGAAACCATTTTTGTAACGTGTTAAAATCATCTTCGAGAGTTGCTTGTATCTGCAAAATATTTGAACCTGATGAATAGAGCAGGACTCTTCAACCTTTTCTTGCAGAGGAACCCCCCTCCCAGGCAAACCGGCGACCCAGGTTTATGTTAGCAAAAAAATGGTTTTTTCCACGTCTTGTCTTATCATCAGGTGAATGATAATGGCAAGGAGAAGTATTCATCATTTTAAAATGAATAGATTTGGTAGAACGTTGTTCATTATTTTCACCTTCCCGCATTATAATTGGAAGAGGAAGTGTAAACTCTAACATAGCCTATTAGCTAGAAAGGTAACTCCAAACACATTTTTGCTTAGACGTGTTGGCAAAAATGTATGGCCAAGTCAAGAAAGTTTACCAGCAGCACCTGCCACACTGGTAGCCTATTCGCGGTTGCTTTTTCAAAGCCTATGTCAGATACTCCAAAGAGTGTAATTGACTCCAATGAGTGTATTTTTCCGCCCACTTTTTTTAAATATATATTTTCGCTGACTCCCTGCAGTACCTAGGATCCCAGGTTGAATACCCCTGGTATAGAGGACTGTATCATTAGCGTATAAGTGAACGTGAATTCTGACAAATTAGAGGCAATTCATTTATGAATATAGAGCAAAGAAGGGGGCCAATACTAAGCCTTGAGGTACTCCTCTACTGAGTGAAAGGAGTTCTGATTTGTGTTCTATGAAAACACATTGTTTTCTATTGCTAAGATAGGCATGGAACCAGTTTAGTGATCTGTTAGTGAAACCAATGTTTTTAAGTTTTCCTAGTAAGATAGAATGAATGATAAACTAAATCAAATAAAGATGCCACCATTTAGTTTGCCTTGGTCAGATGAAGAATGTATATATCATAGTAAGTTTCAGTAATACAGTAGTAGTAGTAGTAGAATGGTTGGGCCTAAAGCCAGATTGAAAGGGTAACATTTTATTTATCTAGGTATATCTGATATATTTGGGAATGTAATAATTTCTCACCGATTTTTGCTATTGAACAGATTACTATAGGTCTATAGTTATTTGGGTCTAAAGAGTTTCCACCTTTATGAAGAGGGGTCTTTACTTTAATGAGCTACATTGTATTGATGTGATGTGACAATGGAAATCTGTCTCATATGCCTATCTCAATATAATGTTTTTGCTGTGTTGTTTGGATAACAATAACTGTAAGATTAGCTCTGATTCTCACCTGTTTCTCAGTCTTTTCAGCTGTGATTGAGACTGTATCATGGCCTTTGTGTTCATCCATGGTACACAGATAACAGATACACTGCTGATCGGTCCGGCAGAAAATCTCCAGCAGTTTGTCATGATGAGAGCAGATATTGTCCTGCAATTGTGTGGTGGCTTTGATCAGCTTGTGCTTCATCAATGGAGCTATATTATAATGAGGCTGGAGATGAGTCTCGCAGTAAGAGGCTAGACACACCAGACATGACTTGAGAGCTTTATGCTTTCTCCCATTGCAGAAATCACATTCCACATCTCCAGGTCCAGCAAAGCACATAGCAGGAGGAGTAGGCTGGAGTCCTGTCTTCTTCATGTTCCCAACCACCATGGCTAGCAGGCTATTCTTCATCAGAGCAGGCCGAGGAGAGAAAGTCTGTCTGCACTGGGGACAGTTGTAGACCCCCTTTGGATCATCCTTATCCCAGCAGTCCTCAATACAATTGCTACAGTAACTGTGTCCACAGTTGATAGTGACCGGCTCCTTCAGTAAATCCAGACAGATAGAGCAGCAGAACTGGTCCTGGTCCAGGAGAACTCCCTGCTCAGCCATTTTAGTTATCACTCACAAATACCAATAGCTGTATATGAAGACAAAGACACACCCCGGCAGAAATGAACGAATCTAGGTAGACGTATAACATATCTCCCAGTCCCGCAGTTGAACTAGTCTAATTGTAATTAAATAATTTCATTTTTACCAGTCGTGATTTCAATATAAGATATCACAATTCAAATGTAATTGTTGATAACCGACTAGCAGCGAGAGATCGATTCGGGGATCGACAGGGGGACATCATTATGCGCGACACAGGAAGTATGCACACCAACATCCGGCTGATCTAATTATTCTACTTCTTGAAATATTTGGCGGTTTGGGGAAGACGTTCTTAAAAGTTGTCCTGAGTAATGTCGAGAACTACATATTTATTGTGTTCATGATTATTTTTTTTTATGTCGTTAACTATATTTGTATCATTTGTTGAATTTCGACGACGGTAAGGATAGTTACTAACTATCTAGCTATGTTCGCTTTCTGTTTCTGGCTAGCTAACGTTAGCTAGCTAGCCAACGCGTTAGCTTACCTCGTATCTGTAACGTTATCAGTGTTCTGCTAACTAGCAGCTAGTTTTGCGATCTAGAAGTTTGCAGCTCGCTGGAAGAATGTCGAACATTCAGAGAACGAATGGCAAATATCTGTGGTGGTCTCTTTTGGGTCTTGGATTTCAACCTGAAGTCGCAGCATCATCAGGGGCCAGCAAAGCCAATGTCAAACACATCATTCTTGGACCGTAAGTGTTGATTGTTGTGGTAACAGTTAAAGTTAACAGTATCAACATCAGTCGTGTAACCCTGTTTCAATCCAGTGAGACAAACTGGCGATGGCATGACAATTAAAATAAACTAATAGGCAGAGACAGACGGACTATTCTCTCAGGTCAGTCAAAAGCCTGTTTTGACACCAGTTTCTTTCTCTCACCAACAGCAATATGTTTGACAAACCAAACAAGGATGCTTTCTACATAGTTACCCATTTCCTGTTAGAGAAACTCAACCCCACACGCTCCCACGATGCATACAGGTATGGTGACGGTCCCATTCCCGGCTTGTTGTTTTTCTTCACACTTTTGTAATTTTCTGCAATTATGTACATTAATATGCTGGGTCTTGTATGTAGGCATTGCTGGCCAGTGTTGGACCATAAAGCAGATGCTGAATTCCGTAAGGTGACCTGTGCTTGGCTGCGAGATCTAATGGTAAGGATTTGGCATGTCTTTCAGGTGTACAGGATTTGACATACTTGTTGTAGCATGGCTGTTAAACAGGTCTAAAGCATTTGAACATGATCTGTGCTTTCAGGATGAGCAGGGCAGCACAGTTCCCAAAGTGGTGGCGTCACTGTTCCTCTCGCCTGGTGGTCCCAAGTTCGTCAACCTGATGCTCCATCTAGCCAATTATATTGAGTTGCAGGAGATGAAGACATTTTCTACAGGTAGGAAGGCCAGAGAGGAAGAGGTGACGTGAGAAGGTTGACTCCGCCCAAAATATGTCCACGAAAATAAGTAAATAATAAATTATTTTTGTATGGAGGTCAATGAGTGTCGAATTTGCTACGTGAGGCTTATTTTATCAAATATAAGTTTTGTAATGATGAGGTTTCTACGAATGCACTGATAAGGATGCATGTGGTATTTCAGCAACTTTGGAAAAAAATACTATCGGAGTTGTGCCTGTTGTTCACACGCATATCTGCCCTCTCATTGGCTAGAATGCTCCCACCTGATCTCGCCTGCCTTCCATCTTTAGGGACATGTATTTCCATTGTTAGAGCAGTCACTCTACTATCTTGTCAATATAATAGATCATCTTTGGGAAGGCCTGTGTATAACTAATGTTTGGACTTAAAGGCGTACTCCATTGATTTTCTTCTGCCTGTGAATTGCAAGCGTCTGTCTAGTTGTTTTACAATGTGTGTTATTAGATGGCACGTGGGTCCCAGAGGCGGCGGCAGCCCCTGCCTCTTCTGTGCAAATGGCGCTGAAGCGGTTTCAGCTGGTCAAAACCAGATTCCTGAGGGGAGCTGTGGAGCAGGACCGGATGCTGCAGGAGTACCAGAGGCAGGCCCAGTAAGTCACATGGCAACTGCACAAACCACAAGCATTGGATATGTTTCAGATACAGTTATTTTCCTTATATTTACAATGCCTAGAAAAGTGTCCCATTTTTGTTGACAATTTCAGTTGGATAAAAAAAAATCTGTCCTTTCATTGGCTAGGTATCATGTGAGTCTGACTAATTAGCACAGGTGCAAATGATGAGCAGGCAATCAAGCCTCATTATAAAACAAGGTGGTCACAGTGGTTAAGAGTTTGTATGCTCTGAATGTCTTGCTTTTGTCAGTCAACTGGGCTGCGTTTACACAAGCAGCTAATTCTAATTATTTTCACTAATTTATACTTTGACCAATCAGGTGAAAAGATGAGAATTGGGCTGCCTGTGTAAACACAGCCCTGTTGGTTATTTTCTAATGTGCCTGGTTTTGCCATTCTACATCTGTGTCCTTCTCTTGTAGATCTCAAGTGAAGTCTTTGCGGGATTTGAGGGCTGAAGATGCAAAGTATGATGATTTGCTCAAGTATGTATGAGTATTCCATCTATCCTTTTAAATAATTGTTTGGGTTGTAGTTGATCTGTTTTCAGTTCACTTTTGGCATAAAACATTATGCTCAAAGTACCAATAAACAATGGCAGCTGGTTAAATTCTTATTTCCCCCGCACAGGTGTCGCAAGAAAGAAGCTGACAAGGAGGAAACTCCTCAAGCTGAGAAGATTCAAAAGGTTTTTCCTTAATTTCATAACTGATGTCTACTTTGTAAAACATCACTAGAAACTGACATTCATTACATTTCTATCTGCAATGTTCTGACCCTTTCACATCTGAACAAACCCCAGGTGCGCTCCCTGTGGTCATCCATCGACAGAGTGCTGTCCACCCTGGAGGAGGAGCGGCGCGTGGTGGAGTGTGTCATCAGGGGAGATGTGGTCCAGTACAACCTGGACGGGACAGGCCTGGCCCTCAAAATCCCCCGGGTTCTGCTGGAGCGGATAGAGCAGTTATCCCACCTGGTGAGAAGCACAATTATAGCATTGCCTTTTTAGGTTAGTGGGTGACGGTGCATTTGGAACCCAGTCCATATTTCAGTGCAATGTTTCCCAAATCTCTCCTTGAGTACTCCCAGATGTTCCACGTTTGATATGTTCTAGAACTAGCGCAACTGATTAAACTAAGTAATAGTGATTAGTTGACCAATTGAATCTGGTATGCTAGTGCTGGAAATTCATAAAATAAGTGGAACTTGAAGGGGGTACTGCTGTAGTCTGTGTTTATCACTAAGCTGTGTGTGTGTCAGTCGGGTGTGGGCAGTGTGTACGAGGCAGGCCAGCTGAACCTCCTCAGCATGCTGGAGCTGCTCCACCAGGCCCTAGGCCTCCTGGGGGAGGAGAGGGCCAAGATGGCAGGACACACCCCCATTGCTCAGCTCCACCCCCTGCTCCTGCAGGAGAGAAACCTGCAGATGGCCCGCGCCCTGGAGGACCTCCGACTCATGCGGTGGGTTAAACTGTGCTATCGCAAGCCTGCTTGTTGGAAATAGTCTTCCCCTGCTACCCAGTTCGTATGTATATCTGTTTGAATTGCGTAGCAGCATGTCATTCATTTATTTGAAAACAAGACATGGCGGCAGCAATTTAAATCTCATCTTGAACTGTAGTAATAAAGCTATTTTAAACTTTGTTGCTCCTTTCATCCCACTGTCTCGCTCTTATTCCAGGAAGAGGATTTCAAAGGAGGAAATTCCAGAGGTAAAGAGCGTCATCAGGAAGTTGGAGATGGAGTGGGACCAGAAGTGGGCAGACTGTCTGAAATGCACGCCGCTGACCTCGTTTCTCAACGAGGATCCTGTAAGTACCTCTTAGGGTTTATAATAATAATAATAATTATAATAAAAATAATTGGTCATTTAGCAGACGCTCTTATCCAGAGCGACTTACAGGAGCAATTAGGGTTAAGTGCCTTGCTCAAGGGCACGTCGACAGATTTTTCACCTAGTCGGCTCAGGGATTAGAACCTGCGACCTTTCGGTTACGCTCTTAACCACTAAGCTACCTGCCGCCGGTTTGTGACCTGGATGTATTAAATGGACGCTCTGTCCAGATATGTGGTCCTCTGTAGCTCAGCTGGTAGAGCACGGCGCTTGTAACGCCAGGGTAGTGGGTTCGATCCCCGGGACCACCCATACACAAAAATGTATGCACGCATGACTGTAAGTCGCTTTGGATAAAAGCGTCTGCTAAATGGCATATTATTATTATTATTATTATTATAACCAGTAGCCCCTACCCCCTAGGCCAGTGCTATTCAACTACGACAGCTGTAATCTTTAACTTTACTGACTTTATTGTCCCCATGGGGAAATGTTGTTGCAGTGTCATGTACACATTTAAAGTGGCATTTAAATACAATACAACATTCATAACAGTTACATACCAATAAAAAGAGACTAGCCTGCTGGCCTTACTGGGTCGATAGGAACAATGGCCTGCTGGCCTTACTGGGTCGATAGGAACAATGGCCTGCTGGCCTTACTGGGTCGATAGGAACAATGGCCTGCTGGCCTTACTGGGTCGATAGGAACAATGGCCTGCTGGCCTTACTGGGTCGATAGGAACATTGGCCTGCTGGCCTTACTGGGTCGATAGGAACAATGGCCTGCTGGCCTTACTGGGTCGATAGGAACAATGGCCTGCTGGCCTTACTGGGTCGATAGGAACAATGGCCTGCTGGCCTTACTGGGTCGATAGGAACAATGGCCTGCTGGCCTTACTGGGTCGATAGGAACAATGGCCTGCTGGCCTTACTGGGTCGATAGGAACAATGGCCTGCTGGCCTTACTGGGTCGATAGGAACAATGGCCTGCTGGCCTTACTGGGTCGATAGGAACAATGGCCTGCTGGCCTTACTGGGTCGATAGGAACAATGGCCTGAGCTATTTAGGAGGGATGTCACACCTTGCACAAATGATTGTCTAGTTGTGTTTTTCCTGCCGAGGGGTGCCCTATACCTGCATCCAGAGGGGAGTAGTTCAAAGTCCGGGTACGGGGGGTGGCTTGGGTCTAAAATGATTTTGTGAGCTTTGCGGAGGGCTCTGACCTTAAAGATCTCATCCAGGCCTGTCTGTTTGACTCCACGTACCTTACTTGCTGTGGTGATAATCCTTCTCAGCATATTTCTCTGGTTGACAGTGGCATTGCCAAACCAACAAACAATACAAAAAGTTGTAGATGTCTATAGACCATTTTGAGGAGAATGGCTTCATCAACTCCTCTGCTGGGCTGATAGAAACTGAAACGGGTCGAGGAACTTCTGGGTGGCGCTGAGGATGACTTTTCACAATTTTCTCAAAGCATTTCATTACTAAGGATGTCAAGGCGACAGGGCGGTAGTCATTCAGCACAGAGGGATTAGATGCTTTAGGAATGGGTATAATTATTGAGTTTTTCCACAATACTGGCACGTGTTGCTGGTCGAGCAAGGATTGGAAAATGTCTAAAAACACCAGCCAATTGTTCATCACAGTGCTTTAACACATGTCCACTTATTTTGTCTGGGCTTTTGTGTGCGTTACATCCCCTGAACAACTTCAAAACATCAACCTGTTTAAAAGCAACCCTCTCAAACATTTGTAATGATGCTTCCATTTGTTTTACCTCTGACACAAAGTCATCCGATTCAAATCTTGAGAAGAAAACATTCAGTTCATTAGCCATGTTCTGGTCCTCATGTCTCCCAAGGTCAGCATTGGTTTTTCCCCTGCCTGTGTGGGAGGGCACTAGCCATGGATTTAATCCCTTGCCAGGCCACCCTTGAGTTTCCTGAGGAGAGGGTCCTCTCCACCCTTTGCTTTATGCCTCCTTGTCCACCAGTATCTGTCTTTTGATCTCATGCTGTACATCTCTTAAAGCCTGTCTTTTACCCTCAGCATAAACTGCCTTCTTCCTATTAAGTAGGGATTTTATATTTTGTTAGGGAAGATTGTACAGGTTTTAGTAGGCACAACAGACTCAACACAGAAGTTGACATAGTCTGAAACAACATCTGTGAGTTTCTTTAAGATCAGAGCTTCTGTCCTCATATACCTCCCACATAGTCCAGTCAAAACACCCTTGGAGACAAGTGATACTGTTGTCGTTCCAGATCTGGACAGTTTTAACTGTAGGTTTCTCCCTCTCCGGGAGCCGACAGTAGGTTGGCCGGAGGTAGACAACATTGTGGTCGGATGTCCCCGGGGGAGGTCTGGTGGTGGCAGAAAGCATTTGGTATTGTCCTATAGCACAAATAAAGAGTCGTGTTTTTCCTAGTGTGACATTTCACATACTGGTGGTACGTGCGCAGGACCTTGTGCAAAGTACAGTTGTTAAAATCCCCTAAAATAAATGTGGGTGCGTCGGGGAGATGGATTCCAGTTTCTGTGACCGATTATAAATAATTTCTGATGCCTTTGCGATATTAGCTTTTGGTTGAATGTACACAATGGTAACAAACAATTGGGGGAACTCACGGGGCAGATAGAAGGGTCGCAGTGACACAGAAAGCAGTTAAATGTCAGGGGTACAGAGTCTCTCTCTTACCAGGATCGATTTACACCACTGCTCCCTGACAAGCAGGCAGACGTCCCTGCCGTGATGTTTCTCTGTGACGGTCAGATCACGGTCTGCTCTGACCAGTGTGAAGCCGGCCAGCTCCACTTCCCTGTCCGGGACTCTGTCATCCAGCCAAGTCTTAGTAAACGCCAGCAAACAGGCCTCCAGGTATTCGTGTTGGAAGCGCAGATTCGCTGACAGCTCATCCACTTTCCCCCTCAGTGACTGGGCATTGATCAGCAAGGTGGTGGGTAAGGGAAGTTTGCTCTTTAATTTTTTAAGTCTGTCTGATTCCCCTGCGTTTTCCACGTTTGTAATCTACTCGCAGACAATCGGGGATTAGATGGGCCATTGGGATATCCATCGCATTCGTGTTTGAGTTGCATTGTAGTAGGAACTCTCTGCTGTATTGGATTCCGCTGCCAGCAGCATTTTCATAATGTAGTCTGTTTGTAGCGGGTCTGTACACGATCAACAAGATCAGTCCAACACCCCACCTCTGTAAAGCCATCGTTGACAGATGGTTTACAAACAGTGTACAAATTAAAAACATTTACACTACCAGTCAAAAGTTTGGACACACCTACTAATTCAAGGATTTTTCTTTATTTTTACTATTTTTTACATTGTACAAATAAGCAAAGAGAAACGACTGTCCATTACTTTAAGACACTTTGAAAGTTTCTTCAAGTGCAGTCGCAAAAACCATCAAGCGCTATGATGAAACTGGCTCTCATGAGGACCGCCTCAGGAATGGAAGACCCAGAGTTACCTCTGCTGCAGAGGATAAGTTCATTAGAGTTACCAGTCTCAGAAATTGCAGCCCAAATAAATGCTCCACAGAGTTAGTCACAGACACATTTCAACATCAACTGTTCAGAGGAGACTGCTTGAATCAGGCCTTCATGGTTGAATTGCTGCAAAGAAACCACTACTAAAGGACACCAGTAAGAGGAGATCTGCTTGGGCCAAGAAACATGAGCGCAATGGACATTAAACCGGTGGAAATGTGTCCTTTGGTCTGGAGTCCAAATTTGAGATTTTTGGTTCCAACCGCCGTGTCTTTGTGAGATGCGGTGTGGGTGAACGGATTATCTCCGCATGTGTAGTTCCCAACGTAAAGCATGAAGGTGTTATGGTGTGGGGGTGCTTTGCTGGTGACACGGTCTGTGATTTATTTAGAATTCAAGGCACACTTAACCAGCATGGCTACCACAGCATTCTGCAGCGATACGCCATCCCATCTGGTTTGGGCTTAGTGGGACTATCATTTGTTTTTCAACAGGACAATGACCCAACACGCCTCCAGGCTGTGTAAGGGCTATTTGACCAAGAAGGAGAGTGATGGAGTGCTGCATCAGATGACTTGGCCTCCACAATCCCCTGACCTCAACCCAATTGAGATGGTTTGGGATGAGTCGGACCGCAGAGTGAAGGAAAAGCAGCCAACAAGTGCTCAGCATATGTGGGAACTCCTTCAAGACAGTTGGAAAAGCATTCCAGGTGAAGCTGGTTGAGAGAATGCCAAGAGTGTGCAAAGCTGTCATCAAGGCAAAGGGTGGCTATTTTGAAGAATCTCAAATATAAAATATTTTGATTTGTTTAAAACTTTTTTGATTCCATGTATGTTATTTCATAGTTTGGATGTCTTCAGGATTATTCTACAATGTAGAAAATAGTAAAGATAAAGAAAAACCCTTGAATGTGTAGGTATGTCAACTTTTGACTGGTACTGTATGTTAAAAGCATAAAAGAACGCCACACCAAACGTCACACACACACTGCGCGATGCAACAGAACCGCGCCCCCTCAGTAATCTCCCTCTCTCTCCCTTCAGGCCCTTGATTTTCTGTGCCCCATGGCTCCTCTGTCCTTTGAGCCGGCCACAGAAGCCAGCTTTAAATCCAGCGTTTTCTCCCAGTATCCGGCGAAGCTGCCCAGTGAGTATAGGGAAACAAAATATTTCCTCTTCCAAGTTGCTTTATTGTTTAACTGCATATTTGAACAAATGTTACCTTGTGTTTTTTGTTCTTCTTAACTTAGAATTTTCTGAGGAGAAGCTTGCGGAGACTGACTCCATTCCAATGGAGACGGTTACCAAAATGGATTCTGCCCTCAAACGGTATATTAATACTCAGCATGCCTTGTTTTCGTTGCTAATGGGCAACTATTAGTCTGATTCCTCTGTATTGTGTTTTTGATGGGAGGCAGATACCTGGGCAGTCCTGAGCTGTGATCTGTCTGTCACTAGTCCTCCCTATAGCATACCTGTTCTCTGATGACCGGGGCGAGTTGAGTGAAATCGCAACGGACAGATACGGAGCAGACAACAATTATCCAAATATCAACTTTTTTTTAGCTCCATCAACCTCATTTTATCCACAGAGGTCTTTATAAGATGTCTCTTTTTGAACAGCCTTTGCCCTCCAGCTGTTGAGAGGGTTGCATCTCTTCTTCCTAGTGTGGTCTCTTCCCCACTGATGACTCCCCTCAATGTACTTTGTGAAACTCCTCTGGCTGTCCCTGTCAAAGCTCCCTCACCAAGCCCCCTGCCGGTAGGTGATGTGCACCAAGCATCCTATTCCTTGTTCAGTTCAGACCCGTGGAGGCTGCTGAGGGGAGAATGGCTCATAATAATGGCCGGAACGAAGCAAATGGAATGGCATCAAACACCTGGAAACCATGTGTTTGACGTATTTGATATGATTCCGCTCCAGTTATTACCATGAGCCCATTCTCCACAATTAAGATGCCACCATCCTCCTGTCGTTCAAACTCAGTAGGAAGGCTTTTTTTGTTTTGTTTTAGCTGGTTCAATATTTTAATACTGCTTTTCGGTTTTAAAGGCTTTTGGCCTTTGTCACTCCTGCACACCAAAATGTCCCCAATTCATGTTTAATCACCTGTGACCAAATCTTTCCTTATAGGCCAGTGTAAGGAAGACGCCTTGTGCATCCCCAAAGGTGTCTGCAGTGAAGAAAAAGGCTCAGATCCTGGACTCTGAGTTTGACAACTTGGCAAATCAGGTACACTTTCCATAAATTTCCTCACTCGAACCAAAATGCACAATGGGGGCTGACCCTTCTAGTCATTATTTTGGTAGTTCTTGGGAGGCAGATACCTGGGCAGTCCTGAGCTGTGCTCTGTCTGTCACTAGCCCTCCCTATAGCATACCTGTTCTCTGATGACCGGGGCGAGTTGAGTGAAATCGCAACGGACAGATACGGAGCAGACAACAATTATCTGCATAGACATGACTGATTTGAGTCACAGAAGAAGGTAGTCTATATACCATGCTGCTTAACATGCCAGGCATGCCTGGAGCATATTTTCAATTGCCTTAGTAATTGTGTGTTAGTTTGCAGAGGCTGTGACCACCAGCCCTGGCAACAGAAGTTTACGAGGACTTGCGCTAGGAGACTTACTCAGCACTCTTGGCACAGACCCTTTCTCCACCAGGAAGCAGATTCCACGGACCCCAGAGAGTTTGAGTGCGTATTGGACTTTATTTGATGTACTTTGAAAGGCAGAATGCTCTTTCACCAGTTTTGCTTTTTGTTGGGCAGAGGAGTAATGTTTTTTTTATTATCATCAGTTCTGGATGTGAAGAGTTCCTGGCGAAGGGCGGTGGAGGAAGGAGAGGCTCAGAAGGCCCGTCTGTCTGGTAAGTTTGACGGTGACTGCATCCTCCGGCACCTCACGCCCCTCTGCGAGGTACAGGAGACCTCCCTCAGCCCTGACGTGCACTCCCTGAGCAAGAGCCTGGATACTGCCACCAACGTTTACAGTATTGCAGCTCCCCAGCAGGCATCGCTCATGTCCACCCTGCCCTGGGACTCCTCCAACATGGAGGCTCTCCATAGCCTGAGCAGTAGCGACGTAGTCCAGTTCAGCATTGACCAAGAGGCATTCCCAGAGCAGTTCAGTATAGATCAGGAGACTCTCCCTGAGCTGCCTGCCAATGACAGCAGCTTCCTGAGCTCCAGTGACTCCAGGGACACATCCAACGCAGAGGAGGAAGAGCTGCTCCTCCCCCACATCCCCTCCCTCCTTCCCACAGAGACTGAGCCAGCCCTACTGGTCGCACACAGGCGTCTGGACAAGATCCAGCAAGCCTTTAGAGAGGCCTCCTTCATGGACCGACACCAGGGGGTGCAAGAGCCCTTTCCCCCACAGCATGACGAGAGGAGCCTGGATTCCAGAGACTGGCTGATGGCAACGTCACTGGAGACTGCAGCCACAGTTGAAGTAACGGACAAGGTCTTTTCTCTGGATCTGGACAGTCTAGAGAGCCCTTCACCACCAAGAAAAGAGCAGTTTAGCCTCTCGCAACTGTTAACATTCTCCCCCATAGATGACCTGTAGTGCCTCCAGAAGATTTATAGAACTACAACTACTGTTCAAAAGTTTGGGGTCACTTTGAAATGTCCTTGTTTTTGAAAGAAAAGCAAATGTTTTGTCTATTACAATAACATCAAATTGATCCGAAATACAGTGTAGACATTGTTAATGTTGTAAATGGCTATTGTAGCTGGAAACGGCAGATTTTTAATGGAATATATACATAGGCGTACAGAGGCCCATTATCAGCAACCATCAGTCCTGTGTTCCAATGGCACGTTGTGTTTGCTAATCCAAGTTTATCATTTTAAAAGGCTAATTGATCATTAGAAAACCCTTTTGCAATTATGTTAGCACAGCTGAAAACTTGTGCTGATTAAAGAAGCAATAAAACTGGCCTTCTTGAGACTAGTTGAGTATCTGGAGCATCAGCAATTGTGAGTTCGATTACAGGCTCAAAATGACATTTTTCTGAAATTCGTCAGTCTGTTCTTGTTCTGAGAAATGAAGGCTATTCTATGTGAGAAATTGTCAAGAAACTGAAGATCTCGTACAATGATGTGTACTACTCCCTTTACAGAACAGCGCAAACTGTCTCTAACCAGAATAGAAAGAGGAGTGGGATGCCCTGGTGCACAACTGAGCAAGAGGACAAATACATTAGCCATATCTCAGACTGGCCAATAAAAGAAAAGATTAAGATGGGCAGTCTGAGATATGGCTTTTTCTTTGGAACTCTGCCTAGGTTGTCAGCATCCCGGAGTCGCCTCTTCACCGTTGACGTTGAGACTGGTGTTTTGTGGGTACTATTTCATGAAGCTGCCAGTTGAGGACCTGTGAGGCGCCTGTTTCTCAAACTAGACACTAATGTATTTGTCCTCTTGCTCAGTTGTGCACCGGGGCCTCCCACTCCTCTTTCTATTCTGGTTAGAGACAGTTTGCGCTGTTCTGTGAAGGGAGTAGTACATAACGTTGTACGAGATCTTCAGTTTCTTGGCAATTTCTCACATTGAATAGCCTTCATTTCTCAGAACAAGAATAGACTGACGAGTTTCAGAAGAAAGTTATTTGTTTCTAGCCATTTTGAGCCTGTAATCGAACCCACAATTGCTGATACTCAATTAGTCTCAAGAAGGCCAGTTTTATTGCTTCTTTAATCAGCACAACAGTTTTCAGCTGTGCAACATAATTGCAAAAGGGTTTTCTAATGATCAATTAGCCTTTTAAAATGATAAACTTGGATTAGCAAACACAACGTGCCATTGGAACACAGGACTGATGGTTGCTCATAATAAGCCTCTGGACGCCTATGTAGATATTCCATTAAAAATCAGCCGTTTCCCGCTACAATAGCCATTTTCAACATTAACAATGTCTACACTGTATTTCTGATCAATTTGATATTTTAATGGGCAAAAAAGTAGGTTTTCTTTTTGGGGGAAAAATGACATTTCTAAGTGACCCCAAACTTTTGAACTTGTATGTATGTATGTATGTGTGTGTATGTGTATGTGTATATGTATGTATGTATGTATGTATGTGTATATATATATATATATATATATATATATATATAGACGACCTGAACCATCTTCAAATTTCTCACTTTTTCACAATTTAAGTCTAACCAACTTCAGTGCACACTGCACATGCAATTAAAATATTTGTACATATGTGTGCCATACTTGTGTTCCAATCTAACATGGTCTATTTTCCTACGAAACTGACATGAATTGTAAAATATTGTTAATAAATGGTCAATCTGTTTAATCATAATTTTTTTATGTGTGCATTTCCTGGGCTTGTAAAGGCCTTGTTTACACTTGCATGAAGTTATTCGGGCTGTAATCATTCAAATTCAGTACGTATTATTATTATTTTTTTCTTGTTAGATGTAAAATATACAATTTTCTGATGGTCATTGGACTTTTCAATTGATGAAATGTCTACTTGATTTAAAAAAAAGTATTGCTTATAAATGCAGTAGTCCTAGGCTATAGAAGACACCCAAACTGTTGGTGGCTTGTAGATAAAATATTTCAATAAATACAGTAGCACTTCTATTAACCTGTAAAATACTATAGCAATCATATATACTGAACAAAAATATAAACGCAACATGCTAAGTGTTTTCATGAGCTGGAATAAAAGATCCCAGAAATGTTTCATACGCACAAAAAGCTTATTTCTCTCAAATGTTGTGCACAAATTTGTATTTCATCCCTGTTAGTGAGCGATTCTCCTTTGCCAAGATAATCCAGCCACCTGACAGATGTGGCATATCAAGAAGCTGATTAAACAGCATGATCATTACACAGGTGCACCTTGTGCTGGGGACAGAACTATCTGGACTTTACTATACTATTTATATTTTTGACAACTTTTAAACTTCACTACATTCCTAAAGAAAATCATGTACTTTTTACGCTGTATATTTTCCCTGACACCCAAAAATACGTGTTACATTTTGAGTGCTCACTAACAGGGATGTAAACAAATTTGTGCACAACATTTGAGAGAGATACGTTTTTAGTCTGTGTGGAAAATTTCTGCGAATTTATTTAAGCTCATGAAACATGGGACTTTACATGTTAATAATAATAATATGCCATTTAGCAGACGCTTTTATCCAAAGCGACTTAGTCATGTGTGCATACATTTTTACGTATGGGTGGTCCCGGGGATCGAACCCACTACCCTGGCATTACAAGCGCCATGCTCTACCAATTGAGCTACAGAGGACCACTGTTGCGTTTGTGTTGAGTGTGTGTGTGTATGTACGTACATACATACAGTACCAGTTCAAAGTTTGGACACACCTACTCATTCAAAGGTTTTTCTTTATTTTTACTATGTTCTACATTGTAGAATAATAGTAAAGACATCAACTATGAAATAACACACATGGAATCATGTAGTAACCAAAAAAGTGTTAAACAATCCAAATATATTTTGTATTTGAGATTCTTCAAAGTAGCCACCCTTTGCCTTGATGACTGCTTTACACACTCTTGGCATTCTCTCAACCAGCTTCATGAGGTAGTCAACTGGAATCTCTTTCCTTCTTAATGCGTTTGAGCCAATCAGTTGTGTTGTGACAAGGTAGGGGTGGTATACAGAAGATAGCCCTATTTGGTAAAAGACCAAGTCCATATTATGGCAAGAACAGCTCAAATAAGCAAAGAGAAATGACACTCCATCATTACTTTAAGACATGAAGGTCAGTCAATACTGAAAATTTCAACAACTTTGAAAGTTTCTACAAGTGCAGTCGCAAAAACCATCAAGCTCTGTGATGAAACTGGCTCTCATGAGGACCGCCACAGGAAAGGAAGACCCAGAGTTACCTATGCTGCAGAGGATAAGTTCATTAGAGTTACCAGCCTCAGATATTGCAGCCCGAATAAATGCTTCACAGAGTTCAAGTAACACCCACATCTCAACATCAACTGTTCAGAGGAGACTGCGTGAATCAGGCCTTCATGGTCGAATTGCTGCAAAGAAACCACTACTAAAGGACACCAATAAGAAGAAGAGATTTGCTTGGGCCAAGAAACACGAGCAATGGACAATAGACCGATGGAAATCTGTCCTTTGGTCTGATGAGTCCAAATTTGAGATTTTTGGTTCCAACCGCCGTGTCTTTGTGAGACGCAGAGTAGGTGAACGGATGATCTCTGCATGTGTGTTTCCCACCGTGAAGCATGGAGGTGTCATGGTGTGGGGGTGCTTTGCTGGTGACACTGTCTGTGATTTATTTAGAATTCAAGGCACACTTAACCAGCATGGCTACCACAGCATTCTGCAGTGATACGCCATCCCATCTGGTTTGGGCTTAGTGGGACTATCATTTGTTTTTCAACAGGACAATGACCCAACACACCTCCAGGCTGTATAAGGGCTATTTGACCAAGAAGGAGACTGATGGAGTGCTGCATCAGATGACCTGGCCTCCACAATCACCTGACCTCAACCCAATTGAGAAGTTTTGGGATGAGTTGGACCACAGAGTGAAGGAAAAGCAGCCAAACAAGTGCTCAGCATATGTGGGAACTCCTTCAAGACTGTTGAAAAAGCATTCCAGGTGAAGCTGGTTGAGAGAATGCCAAGAGTGTGCAAAGCTGTCATCAAGGCAAAGGGTGTCTACTTTGAAGAATCTCAAATATAAAATATATTTTGATTTGTTTAACACTTTTTGGGGTACTACATGATTCCATATGTGTTATTTCATTGTTTTGATGTCTTCACTATTATTCAACAATGTAGAAAATAGTAAAAATAAAGAAAAACCTTTGAATGAGTAGGTGTGTCCAAACTTTGAACTGGTACTGTATGTATGTACGTACATACACACACACTCAACACAAACGCAACAGTGGTCCTCTGTAGCTCAATTGGTAGAGCATGGCGCTTGTAATGCCAGGGTAGTGGGTTCGATCCCCGGGACCACCCATACGTAAAAATGTATGCACACATGACTAAGTCGCTTTGGATAAAAGCGTCTGCTAAATGGCATATTATTATTATTAACATGTAAAGTCCCATGTTTCATGAGCTTAAATAAATTCGCAGAAATTTTCCATACAGACTAAAAACGTATCTCTCTCAATTGTTGTGCACAAATTTGTTTACATCCCTTTTTTAAATAAAGAAAACCCTTGAATGAGTAGGTGTGTCCAAACTTTTGACTGGTACTGTATATATATACAGTGAGCTCCATAATTCACTGGACAGTGACCATTCTTTTGTTATTTTGGTTCTGTACTCTAGCACTTTGAGTTTGAAAGGATACAATGACAATGAGGGTGAAGTGCAGACTGTCAGCTTTAATTTGAGGGTATTTTCATACATATCGGATGAACCGTTTACGAATTATAGAAGCTTTTGTACATAGTCCCCCCCATTTTCGGGCATCAAAAAACATTGGACAGTTTAACATAATGTAGAATAAAGTAATCATTGTTAATATTTGGTTGCATATCCTTTGCATG